ATAACACAAAGAAGTAGCAATATTAATGACATTCTTACCACAGCTAAATCTCTACTTGCATTTGCGCTTAGTATCATAGTCAATATTCACAGTCATAAACCCTAATATCTTTCTTCCTCAAGATTTAGACTCTGGTCGCTAATTTGTTTCATGTAAATATACGTCTTATCAGAATTTAAAAGTTCAAACCTGGATGTGTCTTTTTCATTAATCTGCTGGGGAAAAATGTATTAGCACTTTCTCATTTACATCCACAGCTTCCCCAGATCACTTGATGCCACTGTACCAGCATATTGCCTTCTAGAAAAGTGCTCTGTATGATTACAGCTTTTTGCTTAAAGTCTACATAAATTGCTAAGGGTATCTCTTTAGTATGAAGACTTTTAATACTTCCTGATCATTTTAAAGTATAAACATGTAGTATGAGCCACACTTTCTCATTATAGTCACAGTTATTACCCATATTGAGTGGATGAGCTAATTTACATCAAAGAAATAAGCATTTTAGATTGTAAAGGAGTTCCTCTTACCTTCCAGAGATACCTTCCAAGACTCTTGGGAGGAATACCTAAAACCTTGGGCAGTGTTGCACCCTGTAATTAAGAATCTCTAAACTGAAAATCTGAAATTGAAAATGCTCCAAAATCTGAAGTTTTTTGAGTGTCAATATAATGCCATAGTGGAATATTCCACACTTTACGTGATGGATCTTAGTTAAAAAGTAACTAAAAATACTGTATAAAGTTACATGCATATAGTGTATATAAAACATAAATGAATATTTATGTGTTGATATATTCAAACTTGGGTCTCGTTAATGAGATATTTCATTATGCATATGCAAAGTATTCCAAAATCTGAAACATACGGTTCCAGGTATTTCCGATAAGAATTCTCTACTTGTATCTGCTAATTTTTTTCCTGTATATGTATACCTATGATACGCTTTATAAGTTAGGCGTAGTAAGAGATTAATAATAATAAGTAATAATACATTGGAACAAGTATAACAATGTACTGTAAAGTTATGTGAATATGGCCTTTTTGTTAAGATATTTGTACTATACTCTTGTGATGTGAGGTGATATATGTAAAGGATGAGATGCAGTGAGGTGAATAACAAAGGCTTTGTTACATAGCCTTATGATAACTAAGATGGTTACTAAGTGACTAATGAAGGTAGCATATAGAGTGTAGCTAGAGAAAGCGATTATTCACTTCCTGGGTGGGATGAAGCTGGACAGCATGAGATTTCATCATGTTATGATGAAAAACCATTTTGTAAAAACATGGAAAGTGTTCATTTGTTTACTTTTCCATTTAATGTTTTCAGACCATTGTTGAGTAGGTAGCTGAAATCAGGGAAAATGAAACCAGAAATCAGGGAAAATGAAATCACAGTTGCAGGGGGACTACTGTATTTTCAGTTTCAGGAAACTTTTCTCATTGATTCCCTCTTGGATATTCTCTCAGCTTTCTGTTCAGATTTGCTTATTTGCCTTTTCCTACTAGACTAGAGAGAAAGGAGTCAGGCATATCAAGTTTTACACTCTTGTACTGCTTCTTATTATATAATGTATTTTCCTAAGTACTTGGTTTTAGGCATGTTGCTGTAGATCTGAATGAAATAGGTCTTTTAGACACAGGTTATATCACACTTGATGTATCTCTTAAAATGGAAATGGAATTGCTCCTCACCAATATCTCAATCTGATTGACTCTTTTGCCTATAGTAGATATTCTGTTCTGTTCCCCCTCCCCCTTACTGGGGATTTAACCTAGGGATGCTTTACCATTGAACTACTCCCCCACCCCCACCCCCCACCTCTTTTTTTTTTTTTTGGTTTGTTTTGGGACAGGGTCTCACAAAGCTGCTTAGGGCCTTTCTAAATTGCTGAGGCTGGTCTCCAACTTGAGATCCAGCTTCATTTATAGGCATGTGTCACTTGGGCCTGGCTAGTAGATAATCTTCAAAGTGAACTCGTAGGTCTGTAAGAGATCATGAGCATGGAGTTGTGTGTAAATTTTTTCATTTGTTCATATTTTAATAGGGAGAGAGTTAGTAAATTTGGTGAGACTGTCAAAAGGTTTCATTCCAAAAGAACACTCTCAAAAAAAACCAAACCAAAACAAAACAAAACAACATAAAAAATAAAAACAGAACCTGAAAACAACAAAAAACAAAAATCACTGGCCTATCAGATCTGTTCCAGTGCTGATAAAAGGCTAAACTGTAGGTAATTTCTCAATCATCATTTGCTCTCTTAATTCTGTCAGTACCAGCTATTTCCTTAGTCTACAGTTCCCTTACTTCTTTAAATGTTCATGCAGTGTATGCTTTTAAGGAAGCTTTTCTTGATCTCTGGTTATAGGTCCCACTTTGGCTTCCTGTGCTTTATAGCACTCAACCCCTTTACATAAGTGATTTCAAGTGAAAGTGACATGTGATGCTTTCTTTGTAGGCTTATTGTAATTTTTAAGTGAGATAATATGCAGGTAATGTTTAGAAGAGTGTCTGTTGGTAAGTGGTGGTAGTTTTTGTTTGATTACTTTTGCCTCTATTTCACCAAGATTGTAAGGTGTGTAATAAAAACAACATTTACTTATTTTGCTATGATATTTTTGAACAGAATGAAGTTCAGGCGGAACTAAGAAGGGTCAGATTCTTAAGCTCTTGGAATCAACATGGCGGAAATAATTTTTCAAACTAATAAATTGTGCCATTTATAGTATTAGAACTGTATGTTAATTGTCTGTGTAATCAGAATTACTCATCCCCAGCCCTATTTTGTATGTATTTGGAAACAGAGTCTCACTGAGTTGTGTAGCATCTCGCCATTGCTGAGGCTGCTTTTGAAATTATCATCCTCTTGCCTCAGCCTCCCAAGGTGCTGGGATTACAGGTCTGTGCCACCATGCCCATCTCAGAATTACTCTTTAAAGTCATTTGGCAAGTGCCACACTGGGTATACACAGAACTGTCTCCTAGTCTAGTGTAGCCATTTTATTTTCACTTTGGAAAGAGATTTACTCTTTAAGTTATCAGATGAAAGAATTGACTTGTGCTCAGAGGCCATGTCACTTAAAAAAACTTGAAATACTAGATTTGCTCTTAGCAACTCTGGGTACTTCAGCTATAAAAAAAAGGTTGTTGAAACAATGACATGTTGAAGGAATAGTGGATTAACATCTCTTCATTGCATTACATGCTGCAAAATGTACTCATTGGCAAAGGAGAGTATGATAAGCCCTTGTCACTTTAAAATTATTATTTTGAGGTTGGAGGTAGGGAGTGGAGCCATCCAACTTTTTAAAATTGAGCTTGAATAAATTAAATTTAAATGAAATGTGAGTTTATTGTTTCCTCTTCCTAGAAAGTTCTTTTTAACACGTTTTTCCCCATTTCTTTTTTTTTTTTTGGTGTTATCTTTTTAAAAATTCTAATTTGTTATATATGATAGCAGAATGCATTTCAATTCATAGTACACATGTACAGCACAATTTTTCATATGGTTTTAATTTCCCAATTTCTCTTATTGGTGCATTATAGTTGTACATAAGGGTGTGGTTTGTTATGTTTATACATGCACACAATATCACACTGTCATTTGGCCTATATCATTCCCCAATATTTCCCCTTTCACATTCTTCTTCCTCACCCCTGGTCCTTTCCTCTGTTCTAATGGTTTCTCTTCTATTCTCATGAGATTCCTCCTTACACCTTTCTTTTCCTTTTTTCTTTGTACCTTCCACATATGAGAGAAACATGACCCTTGACCTTCTGAGTTTGGCTTATTTTGCTTAACATAATGTTCTCAAGTTTCATCCATTTTTCTGCAGATGATATTAAACCATTTTTCTTTATGACTAAATAAAACTCCATTGTGCATATATACCACATTGTCTTTATTTTGAAAAGTTCTTAAGGAGATTGTAGGAAAGAACCAAGGGAACACAGGCAAAGTTAGTGTACTGACAGGCTCACTCAAGGCTCTGATTGGTTTTCTTATCTAAAGCCAAGAGTAAGGGTGTAACCTTGCCAGAGTTGACTGTTATAACTCTTGGCCATGAATATTTCATTTCTTACTTTCCTTCTCTCTTGATTATTTCTCTTGATTATAACTATTAATGGTATAAGGTTAAATAGTATATTCAGTGTTATTTATTGAAATTTATTAGTTTATCAAGGTCCACTTACATTTCCACTTAAAATGCTCAGCTTTATCTGTTAAAGATGTTTATTGTGTGTATTGTTTGTATATAGTAGGGATGTATATATAACGTTTGTTTTAATGCTTAGACAAAGTTGTTAGTAAAGTTTGTGGTCTCATTGTTCATTACAACAAGGTTTACTGAACAAAGCACTGTCTTTGTGTGTATACACACAAACGTGTGAGTCTGACTTTATTTGCATTTTATATTCATTGTTTATGTAATATATTTAATATTTTAAATTCACGTAGTACATTTTGCAGTTACTTTTCAACTCAGGAATTTTAAATCGGTCAACTAACCACTTAATAAACCAGGATCACTGCACCAAAGAGAAGCCATGTGGTTTAGTGTTTAAGAGCATGGTTTCTGAATCTTAAAGATTCAGAACTAAGGCTTGGTAGTGTCCAGATCAGCACTATACAGTGTGGCAGCCATTGGCCACATGTAGCTATTAAACACTTGAAATATAGCTAGGTTGAGTAATTGAATTTTACATTGCTTTTAATTGAGATGTAGATAGGTAATTGTGACTAGTGGCTACTATAATGGGCCATAGTACTAGTGACTTCTTTTTCCCCCTTTTTCATTGTACGATGATACATAAGCCACCTTTTGTGGTTTTGTAAGAATTAAGAAAAAATAGTATACTTAAGACACTTAACATTATGCCTGGAGAAGAATATATTCCTGAAAAACGGTAGTTAATTATAATGGCATGTATTTAATAAAATGGAGTTATTTTCCTCTTGAATAGTAACTTATTTGTTTTTATTCTTTCCTTCTAGGATCAGTTTATTTTTGGAAATCAAGTGCAGTATTAAAAAGAAAACAAACCACACTACATTATTGGAAACCATTTCTACTGATCTTATTACATTTTTAAATTTATGATTTGATTTGAATATTATCATGGGAGGAGCTGTGAGTGCTGGGGAAGATAATGATGACTTAATTGATAACCTTAAAGAAGCTCAGTATATTCGTACTGAAAGAGTGGAGCAAGCCTTCAGAGCAATTGATCGTGGAGATTACTATTTGGAAGGCTACAGAGACAATGCTTACAAAGACTTAGCCTGGAAGCATGGAAACATACACTTGTCAGCACCTTGCATTTATTCTGAAGTTATGGAAGCATTGAAACTTCAACCAGGATTATCTTTTCTTAACCTGGGAAGTGGAACCGGATATTTAAGTACAATGGTGGGCTTAATTTTAGGTAATTTTATTTTTGTAAAATTCTATTTAAAAAAAGTAAGTTGATTTTGTAGTACTGTTGGTAATTTCCAGGCTTTGTAACTTTGTATACAGTGTGTTGGAATCTGTACTCAAAGTAGTTATCTTCTTTACTCAAATTTGGAAACTCAAAGTAGTAGTAATCTTGTCACTCCTAGCCCTGACCCAGGTAGTTTTTGCACAGATCTAGACTTCTGATAGCTCTTGGAACTATTCTCCAACTCTTAGTCATTGTACTTAAAATTGAGCAGTTGGTAGGCAAAAAACTCAAGAATTATTTAGTATACTTCAGGTAAGGTGTTATGTTTACTGGCTTATGAATCTCATTTTAAATGGAAAGAGAATTATGTCAGTTTTTTGTTGGAGACACAGGAGTATGTGTGATATGGAGGGTGTGGCACTGGTTCACCAAAACTAGAGACTGAAGAAAAAACACAGAAAAGGATGTGTTCACTAAAATCTTATCAAACTTACTCCATGTTTGTTGTCCCAGGCATTGTTTCTGGTGTGATATAGCGGTGATTAAAAAGGGACAAAGATTTCTGCTCTCAAGGAGCATACTGGGTGTTTTAGATGAGTGCTAGACATTGTTAAGGCACTATATATGTAGCAACTCACTCAGTATTCCTGATAGTCCTTGTAAGTACATACTGTTATACAGATGAGTAAAGTGAGGCACAAACAGGTCAAAAAACTACTTGAAGTTAAGGTGGAATACAGGTGGGAAGAGCATGGATGGAGGAAATTCTGCTACAGAAACATTGTGTTAGATGGAGGATGAACTTGAAGTTTAGTGAGTCATTTAGAATAGCCATCACTTTTATCAAAACATTAAGGTAGAAACATAAAGGCACATATCACTTTTGCTATTGTGGGGAGAGATTAGGAAGGGTAAACATCCCTATTTAGCATGATAGGTGTGATAATTGAGGTGTATGCTCAAGTTATAGGAATGAGACTGGTGTAAAATTCATTCTAAAGTGATCAGGCGTCATGGAAAGGTTTTAAATAGAGAAAGATGTATCCTGTAGTAGGGTGACTGTCCCAGTGTGGAACTAGAGTCACATTTTGTCATTTTAAGGCATTTTTTTTGGATCTGAAATCCCCCTTTCCTATACACTAACTCCTCTTTTAATCATGGAATCTGTGAGCTAGTTCATTAAAATAGGTGAGGGAGTACTTTCATTTCTCAACTGGTATAGGTTTTTTTTTTTTTTTTTGGCACTGGTGCACTTAATCACTTAGCCACATCCCCAGCCCTTTTAATATTTTATTTTGAGACAGGGTCTTGTTAAGTTGCTTAGGGCCTCACTAAGTTCTTGAGGCTGCCCTTGAACTTGTGATCCTCCTTTCTCAGCCTCCTGAGTAGCTAGGATTATAGGCATGAGCCACAGCACCTTGCTGGGTTAATTTTTTTTTTTTTATGATTAGTGTTATTTATTCTTGCAAAGATAGATGAAATTACAGAGAATTTGGTATCAGATGATATACTGTAGTCATAAAATGAAAAATACAGATAACTTTAAAAAATAAATAGAAAAAGCATTATTGAAGTAATTGAAACAGACACCCTCAGTAAAGGAAGATCTTGGTTCAAGATTGAAATGATATAGATATCTCTCAGAGAAATCCTTTAACTTAACAAAATGTAAAATAATTCTACAAATTTCCAGACAATAATTTAAAATTGTAAAGTGATTGAATGTAGTAAAAGTACTAAAATTACAAAAGCCAATGCCCATTTAGTGACTGGGTTAATTCTTGATGTTTAATTACTGCTCAAGAAGGTAGCAAACAAAAGAGAAATTTAGACTTTTATATTTAAATTTGATGGTCTTCCTCATTCTGAGATATGAATTTTTTAGCAGGTTGAAACTTCCACATGTCTATCACTTTCATCACTAGAATATCTAGGGTTTATGACTGTCTCCAAAACAAAAGGAAAGTAGTGGGAGTGAGTAAGGAGAGCTGCTACTATTAAAAATGAAAGTTGCTGACCTTAACCAGTATGTTTCTTGCTCTGGCAACTTTCCATCTCAAGTTCAGTCCTCATAGCGTGTCTAGCCAGCCTCAGAATGCATGTTTATCCTGTCTTTGACTTCTCCAGTGCCTGCCAATTGGCTCCTGCTGAGTAAGGTCAGTCTAGCCAGAGGAAGGTTAGCAGATGTGTGCGTCATAATTAGTAACCTTGCTAGCAATGAGGTCTCCTCCTTAGACTCCTTGCTTAGTCCAGTCTCCAAGACATAAGATTCCTGTGGTCAGATGCCCTTGTAGGCAGAACTCAGACTTTATTGTCTTGTCTTTTAATTCATAACCAGAGGGTATTGTGGAAGGAAGTAGACAGCTTGGGTAGATGATCTACAATGTGCTAGGTATTTTCCTCCTGTTATAAGGCTAGAGGGAGTCATGGATCTGTAGTTGGATATATATGATCATGACTTCTGGATACTACTCCAAGATCTTTTTGTGTGTGATCCTGCACAGTGAAAACCTAGATTTAATATTCTCCTTTTGATAGAACTATTCATTTAGTGGGAAAGATTATAGTTTACTTTGATTAAGCTTCTAAGGAAACTTAATCTTTTATCCCCTTGTCCCTCGCCTATTAGCATTTCATGTTTTTTTTAAGTCAAAGAAGGGAGGGAACATATTCATAAAAATCACTTAGAACTAGGTCCAAAGAAGGATGCAGTGCACACTGTATTATCTGAGTATAGTGAATCAGATTTGGCACCTTTGCATCACAGTGACCCTATTAACAGACATTTTCTCCTTAACAAGAAACTATAGCACCATGCTTTCAGCTTTTTTTTGGTCTCTCAGTCCCAAGATATGGGTGATAGGATCCATAGGCAAATGGGTCCTACCTGAGGAACCACAACCTACTACATACTTTGGAAGAAACCCGGCTGAAGCAGGGAGAGCAGGGCATTTGTGGTTTGGTAACACTATTAGGGAAGATGTCTCCTGGGGAGTTCCCACTTCACTTCAGAGACACACATGTAGAGGATTGGCTGTAATCACCTCTTGTTGTTTATAAGGGGAAGTTTGTTTTTTCTGCAGGAAATTTCTTATGAATAAAGTACGCTTGATGCAGTTATCCATAAATTTAATTTTTCCCTGTGCGTGGAGAATGGATCACTTGAACTAGAGTTTCTCATTGAGGCATCTTCTTGCTTTTCAAACTGAAGATAAATTTTTTGTGTTTTGCTCAATTCTCCTTGAGGGTCTTCCCAGGACTAAGAATTTTTATAGTGAATTGAGTTATTTAATTGATTCTCTTCTCAGTACTGTCTTTTCATCCTTTCTTAAGGAATTCTACTGAAAAACCAAGTGCAGGAAAAGAGGCCTTCAAGTACTGTACTTTACCTCTGCTAATCAGGATTCAATTGAATAATAAAATTATGAAGGCAAGTTATTATAATCTCTTCTGATTCAGGATTATAGGATTCTTCTATGTTTGGTTTCTTTTTGCTTAGGGATTCATTCCCATTTTTCTTATAATCCATAATATAACAATTATAGATTCTTTAAAAAACCTTATATATATATGACATGCGCTACAACATTCATTCCTAAATTCATTTTTAAAGATCAAATAGTTGACAAGCAGGATGTATCTTGTCAGCTTGTATAGATACTTGCAACAGCTGAATTGTCCAAAAGGGCTGATTAGTTAAGCTCTATGCTGCCATCCTGTTTGGTTTCCCTACTCTATTTTTTTTTTTACCACAGGACCATTAAATAGTCCTTAATCATCTAACCTTTATTACCTTTGACCTCAGGTACTCATGCTTTCTTATCTTCATGTATATGCAAGCTCAGACTCCCTTCTCTCTCCCTCTCTGTTTAATAAGGTTTGATTTACATATCATAAAGTTTACATTTATTGTATGTGCACAATTCAGTGATTTTTACAGGTACCTACAAAGTTCCTGTAAACATTATCATAGTCCAATTAAAATACACTTCTGTTATGCCAAAACCCCCATGCCTAAGTGATGTACTCCTGACTCTACTCCAGCCCATGGCAACCACATGTATACTTTCTGTCTCCATATATCGGCATCTTAAGAACCTTTCATATACATGGCATCATAAAATAATGTGGTCTTTTGCATCAGGGTTCTTTTACTTGGCTGTATTTTCAAGTTTTGTACATGCTGTAGCTTGTATGAATTATGGCAGGAAATATTTTTATAGCAGGAAATGTTCTGATAAATAGATTTACCACATTATGTTTATCCAGGCATCAGTCAATGAATAGTTCAATTACTAGTTTTTGGCTGTTAGAAATAATGTTGCTGTGAACATTCAGGTGTATATCATTGTTTTCTTTCAATTGACTGGTTTCTTAGGAGCGGAATTACTGGACTATATAGTAAGTTTATTTAACTTTTTAAGAAATAGATAAACTTCTTTCTGTAATGGTTGCACTGTTTATATTCTCACCAAAGTTGTATGATTGTATGAGGTTCCAGTTTCTAAATATTCTCACTGATAAACGCTGCCCCCCCCCCCCGCCACTAGCCCATAGTGATGGGAATTGAACCTGTGACTTTTATGTGCTAAGTACACAATACCACTGAGCTACATCTCCAGCCCTGTTATTTATAAATAGCCATAAATGGATGTGAATTGTTATCTCATTTAGTTACAGTATGCCACAAAGCCTAATTAATGATGTAGAACATCAATTTATATGCTTTTTGGTATTGGGAATTGAACCCAGTGGCTTATTTTTTTTGTTTTGTTTTTTATTTTTTTAATTAATTTTTTTTAACTAATTAATTGCTTTTATTTTTTAAATACATTACAGCAGTTATTTTTTATTTTGAGACAGGCCTCTAACTTGTGATCCTTTTTTATTTTGAGGCTGGCCTCTAACTTGTGATCCTCTTGACTTATCCTTCCAAGTTGCTGAGATTACTAGTGTGTGCCACTGTGCCCAGATCATTTTAATTGGGTTCTTATTATTGAGTT